CCCCCCCCCACCCCAGACCTGTCAGCAGCAAGACCGTGCACCGCTAACAAATCTCAGTCTTCACAGTTGTTACTGGCAGCTGGAAAACGATGTCTGTCTTTTCCGTTTAAAATGTCTGCTGTCACATTACCTGAGTTTTGTGTGCTTTTCCTAGTTCTCTTTAATAGTGTCTGACAGGAAATCGGATGTTTTTCTGCTCATTCTGTTGCATAAATAACTCCCTACATGGCAAACCTGCTCTCTTTCCCAGCATTATCTGGCATGGAAATGATTTCAGAATGATAACCAAGAAAAACTGAGCTCATGAGCAGAACATATGAGAGTAATGCTGTTCGTTTCTTGTTTATTTAAAGAAATGTGTGTCTATATGAGAAGAGACTTTCAGCATATCTGTGTGTATGTGTGTGTTTCTGTGTCTGTCTGTCTGTGTGAATATGTCTGTGTGTGTCTCTGTGTCTGTCTGTCTGTGTGAATATGTCTGTGTGTGTCTCTGTCTTTGCTTGTCTGTCAGTCTCTGTGTGAGTGTTTGTCTGTTTGAGTGTCTGTCTGTCTGTCTGTCTGTCTGCGTGTCAGTGTTTGTCTGTGAGTGTGTGTCCGTCTGTCTGTCTTTGTCTGTTTGTCTGTCAGCATTTGTCTGTGTGAGTGTGTGTCCGTCTGTCTGTCTTTGTCTGTCTGTCTGTCAGTGTCTGTGTGAGTGTTTATCTATTTGTCTTTCTTTGTCTGTCTGTCTGTCTGTCAGTGTTTGTCTGTGTGAGTGTTTATCTGTCTGTCTTTGTCTGTCTGTCTGTGTGTCAGTGTTTGTATGTGTGAGTGTTTATTTGTCTGTCTTTGTTTGTCTGTCTGTCTGTGTGTCAGTGTTTGTGTGAGTGTTTTTCTGTCTGTTCACCTTCTGTTCATTGTGATCTACCTCTGAATCTGTGTGAGGGACTGAGTTTCCTTGTGGAAAACGGCCCACAATGCACTGCATGCCGCACTGAAAAACACCAGATGTTGCGGGATGAAAACACATAAAAGCATAAACATTCAGCAGGGTGCTCAGAGTGGTGGAGAGCATCCAGGCTGGGGACCGTCATCATCATCAGTCAGGAGTCAGAGATGGGACGTGTGACAGCGCTGGTAAAACCTCAGAAGAATCCGGAATAAGTGACCGGTGTCCCCGTCATAGAGCCTTGGAGGAGTGTCACTTCAGATCTCCACGAGGCGCGTTCGTGGAGAGCTCGTAATGGCCACTCCGACCAGCAGGGGGAGGCATGGAGGAAGCAGGTGGCAAGGCGGGCAGTGTTGGCTGTGGTACCTGCGGCTGCAGCGGGGGTGGGGGGTGGGGGGCACTCTGCTCCCACAGCACGTTAAAGCACGGACACTGTAACAGGGGGCCGAGGAGCAGCAGGCAGTGGGTCTGAGTTTTATTGCCGGTCTTCGGTTTGCGGTCAGTGCCCTGGTCAGTCACTCTTGGTCAGCTTTTTAAGCATGGCGTGCCTTCACAAGTTAATCTCTACTGTTACAATCCACCAGTCACGCCATAAACCTACATCATCCAGATGCTAGAATCTGAAGACTTCCTGCAGTCTGTGAAATGTGTTGTTATGCAGATTTTTTTAGTTTAATTTGAAGTGCAGGTTTTCAATACAAGTTTGTCCCAAAACTTCTCTATACTCAGTCGTTACTCTTTGCTACTGTTTACTTTGTGGTGCATTGTGGGTAACTAAGAGGTGAAGGTGTCCTGTTCCTGCCTGCATTGTTTTCGGTCCCTTCGCTTCTGTGATAAGGCACAGAGTCTTGCTCATGGCTCTCTCCCACCAGGGGGTCCCAGCCAGCTCTCAGGTCCAACGGCAGGCTCGCTCCATAAAGCAACAGCGCCCCCTAGTGTCACTGCCTCATTTCAAAACTCGTATTAGGGGATGATCTCTCCAAAGACTCAGAAGTGATAAAAACGGGATCACCGTAAAGCGAGGACTTGAAATTCACAGCCAACCCATGACACTTGCGTCTGAGAGCATGCGTTTGAGCTCTGTTACAGTCATCTGGAAGAACATTTAATCCACAAGGTCTCTGGGAGTTTAATCTGAGTTTGCAGGGTCGCCATGAGTGTCATTAGCAGTTATATCCACTGTGTGACAGCTGTAGCAGCTTAATACACAGCACAGCGCTACTGTCGTCCACAAAACCACAAGCCGTGATCTTTTAAAACATCTTCAGCTCTTGGCATTGCATGGCTGCCTCGCTTCGCTCCCTGAAAAGCTCTTTGCATTGTTAAACGGGGATGTTGAGCACTTAAGCTCTGGTTTTGAGGTGTAGACTTTTGCATGATTAAACATTAAAATGGCTGAAAGCTGTGGGAGAAATCCCACACCGTTGACGGATCAAAGCAGAGGGAGGAAAGTGAATTCCCGAAACCCCCCCCCCCCCATAAATCCTGCTGGCTGTGGGATATCGTTTTGGCTACATCTGTCTGTCGTTTCTGACTGCAGGCACACGTGGCAGGTCCAGGACAAGCCAAAAGCCAACAACGTAGCTTACACCTCTGGAGACCTTAGCCTGCACACGGACTACCCCGCCCTGCAGCACCCACCAGGCGTGAGTGAGCGTGCGAACAGGCACACACACACACACGCACATGCACGCCAACCGAGTTCGCTGGAAGCCCACACGCTGAACAAAACATCCTGTTCTTAATCTGTCTTCCATAAAGTAAGAAAACATATTGGAAAACCCAACATAGCATGATTAAAGTAATTTATTTTAGCAGCTAAAGTAATATTTCCCAACCTGGTCCTCAGGGACCCACAGCCAGTTCGCATTTTTGCTCCCTCCGAGTTCCATGTCAGACAGTACATTTTTGCTCCCTCTGAGTTCCATGTCAGACAGTACACATTTTTGCTCCCTCCGAGCTCCCATAAGACTGTGGGTCCCCAAGGACTAGATTGGGAAATACTGCTTTAAACCCTTAATGGCGCATATAGTTACGATAATTTTGTTGAGCCTTAACTGGTGATTTTGCAGTCTAGCTCTAACCATCACCCCTAGAGAAATGAGCCTCTTAAGGTCCCAAGCCTCCTTACTGCTGTTTGGAAAATGGCCATTCGCTGTTTAGATGATGCACATGATACAATACAGACTGTGATGGTGTGGTACAGCGTATTATAGGATGTTATAGTCTTTGATATTGTAGTATCGTCTATAATACAGTAACTTTCTTGCAGCTACTGTGTTATTATTTACCATTCCCCCCACTTCTGCCCGGGCCCCAGGTGCAGTTTCTGCACTGTCTCAGCCAGGCCCAGCAGGGCGGCGACAGCGAAGTGGTCGACGGCTTCCATGTGGCCTACCAGCTGCGCCAGCAGAACCCGGAAGCCTTCCAGATCCTCTCCTCGCTCCGGGTGGACTTCACCGACACCGGCTCGGACTACTGCGACTTCGCCGTGCAGTCGAAGCACCGCATCATCGAGTGAGGCCCCTTTTATCTGCCCGCTGTTTATTTTCAGTGAGAATGTTACGGCTCATTGACTGATTTTTCTGCAGTCATTTATAAAAACTGACTGCTATAGAACCTGCTGAGAATAAACCTCTCTGACTGTTTTGAATTAATGCCAGCTTATAAGTATATGTATCATATGAACGCAGGAATGCCGTGATTCTGTCCCCTCGCTCCGCAGTGTCGACTCTGAAGGACAGGTTGTGAGGATCAATTACAACAACGCCACCCGAGACTCGGTGCTGGACCTGCCTCTGGAGCAGGTCCAGCCTTTCTACTCGTCCCTGAGGGCCTATGTGGACCTCATGACCCGGCCCGAGAACGTGCTCACCTACAGGATGGAGCCGGGTCAGTACCCCTGTCTCTCGCACCGTTTTGGGCTGACATCATACGACATGGGACTCAGGACACCCCCACATGACAACTCGGGCCTTCAAAGCCGCGAAGTGTGTTTCATATTAGCCATGTCGCTCGGTACTTTAGCTCCTGCTCCTCTGAACGTCGGCTGCGTGGTTAGTCTGCCTCACCTGTTTACTATTCAAGGATTCAAAAGCTTTATTGTGTGCATGTACAATGGATTACTCCCTGCAAACGTAGACAATGATAAAGAACAATAAATAACAAATGAGAGAATAGGTAGAAAAATTATATACATACAATATGCAATATCAATGCAATATACGACATGCATACAGTATATCCTCCTGAGACCCAAGGAAAAAGTGTCCTTCAGTTTTAGGTTATTTGTCTTTGGGGGAAATAAGACATCTTACAATTTAGATTTTTTTCAAATGTATTTTTAATTTCACAGCATGTCCTCTTTAGTGTACAACTGGAATAAATATGTTTCCTTACATCAGTGAAAAGATAGATGCAAAAAGAAAATGTCCACTACAATGGACATAAATGAATTGGTGGGGTCTCAGGAGGATATATAACAGGAACTAGGAGGGAGCAAAAACACGGACTGGCTCAGGGTCCCCATGGACCGGGTTGGGAGGCACTGATATACAGTACACAAAGTGTGTATGCCTCTGACTAACCCATCGGTCTGTTCCTCTTTCTTGACTAGTCCCCTTCTTCTGCTAACCATGACTCCTGTGTACTGCTGGTTAGCCGCCACCTAACCTACCCCTCTCCCCCGTGTCCACAGGAGACATCATCACCTTCGATAACTGGAGACTGCTGCACGGACGCCGCACCTACACGTCTGATCCGGTGCGGCCGCGACACCTTGAGGGCGCATACCTGGACTGGGATGAGGTCATGTCCCGCCTGCGGCTGCTGCGTAGGGCCGTCTACGGGGGGCGCTGACAGGTCGGAGAGTGAAGGCCACACCCACGTTCCTCAGTCACCTGCACGCCTGGAGTGCCTTTCCTCTGCCGCGGATCGGTCCGGAGCCCCGACCCCTTCTGGCTTGGGGTCCAGCTCTGCACGCATTGCATTGTGGGTGATGCTTTTTGCATGAATGTACGCAGGATCCACTCTCACTCAAGTGGTTCCCAAATAATAGCATTTTTCTGTATTTCATTAAGGGATTTTGGTTAGTTTTATGGTGTCGTCGTAATACTTAACATGGGCTGTTTGAATGTAGATATTATGATTTTGAATAAGATGATATATAGGAAAATATTTTCAGGTCTTAAATTAGTTCTTATAAAATCAGCTATTTTATGCAAGTTTAAAATGCATAATTTTAAAATAATACCAAGTATATTTTTATTTAAATTACGTGGGGTCAGTCAAAATATACCATTTTAATTTTCTAACAACAAAAATTGTTTCATGTATGTAACGTTGGAAATGCAGGTATGTCTCTAGAACATGACTTTTGTAAATCAAGATCCCTCAGCACATGTACAATGCAATAACTAACAATGCAAAACCAGAGAATATTTATTGTGTATATATGAATTATGCAATACCTCAGTCATCTATTTTTTATACAGACAGAGATGCACAGAAAGACTCCTGGGTAAAATGTGTTTTGTGATGTATAAGGGTCATTAAAATCATTTGCTGTTGAATCCTCGATTCTGATTGGTCACATAGGTGTTGATTAATTTTCTGTAATCGCACACGTGGTGCCGGCCAGACAAGCCAGAATAGCAAATCAACACTCTATTATAATCTCTAATTGTGATGAATGTTACTTAAAGGAAAGTATAAAGACAGAGAAATGGCAAAAAAATCACTTAGACAGTAGCAGTGCTTCAGACACTAATTACGCTAATTAAGCTGGCTTTTACCCATAACACAGCTGAAGACCAGGAGGTACATAAAGCGAAATTAATTAATTACTGAATATATATGTACAGTTCTTTTCTCTGCAGCTGTGTGTAAAAACATGTAATGCACGACTTGGGATAAACAGCATGAATGAGCTCCCATGATTACAACACATTTGGCTTGAATGATTGTACCTAAAGACTGGCTTTTGGGCTTATCCATACATGCATTGCCTTTCGTCCTTACTGCATCTTATTACAAATTTAATGACATCATTACATATTCCTCACGTTGAGTGTTCTGTATCCAACCAGCAAATAGATCTGTTATATCTTCACTAGTATGTGAGTAAAGAATCACTTCTAATTAGGAGAGAAATCTCTCTCTCTCTCTCTCTCTCTCTCTCTCTCTCCTTCCCTCCACACTTACATTTGGCCAGGTAAGATCGGAAAAAAATGGTATATAAGTCTATTGTAATGATTATTGACATTTGTGCCACTCACGTGGCGCCACCCAGTGGAGCAGTTTGGCATCTGAAACTTGACTGTCCTTGGTAGCAGAAGTTGGACTGAGCTGTGGCTAATAAGTGCTGTGAAAGGGTTGTCTTAGTACAAATCCTACAAAGCACCACAAGGTGGCAGCATTAAGATATAGAGGAAACTAGTTATATTATTAAACATGGACCCATTTTCCACCTGCTTCCATCCTGGTGCTCAAGATCATGGGAGCGCTTCGAGTTCATCCCAGTTAGCACTGGGCACACGCCTAGGTACACCCTGGATGGGATGCCAGTCCATCACAGGGCACGCGCCTGGGTACACCCTGGATGGGATGCCAGTCCATCACAGGGCACGCACCTGGGTACACCCTGGATAGGATGCCATTGTGGGAGTCCCCACAATGTAACATATAAAAAATCACACACACAGGATTCATGCCCACATCCCTTGTACTGTGGTCATAGTGCTACTCACTGAGCCACTGTGACACCTTAAGCTCCAAATGTACACATGGAAAGAGAGCAAAGGACCAGAAAGTTAAAACCTAAATGTTCAGAGACCAGAGGGAATAGCAGAATGTCTGACAGCAGCACTGTGGTCACTGTCCTGTCAGAGCCTTCTCTGGTTATAATGGTGTGACTTGGTGGGTTAAAATGCTGTGCCTGTGAGTGGAAGGACGTTGGTTTAAATCCCAGGGTCAGCACAGTGATGTCACCATCGGACGCCTGAGCAGGACCCTTATTCCCCAGGTGCTCCAGAGATTGGCTGACCCTACGTCCTCAAACCTGTCACTGCTCCCCACAAAGGGGTCTCAGGCACCCCTCATTGGAGTGGCCAGGAGGCCTTTGGCCCAGTGAGTTTTAAACCCTTGTTTTGCTCTTCCTTAGTCAAGAAGAGTGACAGCTTAACAACACCCGCCGAAAGTCTCCTGCAGCCCAACCTGACCTGCTATTATCATGCTAGGAACATCTCTGGTTGGCATGGCAACAGAATCACGTGACCTGGGGGGCTGACAGTGAGAAATGGGTCGATTGACAGAACTTGCGGTCTGCCTTCGGAGGTTGGCGAGGATGGGGGCGGGGGGGCGGGGGAGAGGGGGGTGGGGTAGGACTATGGTGACACAAAGAGAAAGAAGCTGCTGGATTCGCTGAGGAAGTCAAACATCAACAAGTTTTGGGGTCCGGGAATTTATGCAGATACGATTCTGAGTCACATGGCTGAGACCAAACAGGGGACAGGCACAGCTGATGGATGTTTACATTCACAGCGACAGTGTGACAAATCCTGTGCTCTGACATGTAGGGGTCACACGGCAGCCATGTGGAGGGTATGAGGGGAGAGAGGAAGAGGAACAGCAGAGTCAGGCGAGGCAGGAAAGACGAGAGCGAGCGCCACCTCACTCCAAACGTTCACGCCCAGCATCGACACTGTCCTGCGTCCTTCTCTGCGTCCCACATTCTGGCTTTTACACTGTGCTTTTCACTGCTAGATAACAGCAGCTCTTGTCATGGCCGCCTCTCATGATGTCGTCGCTAGAGTCTGATAGAGCCGTGCTTTTGCCTTCAGGTTTCAGGTTCTCCCTGCAGATGCAGTGTTACGCAGCTCCTTCAGCGAGAGGCTGCTGCATCCACCATGTAAGGCAGAAGGCTTCCGCAGGTCCTTCATTCTGTCTGCCATTACACTCCATAACGCCACAGTCATCTGAAATCCATTCATTTTTCCAACTGACTGTCCATTACGCAGGAATGTTCTTTACGTTTATACAATATCCACTGCAAAGAGGTGCTGCGTTCTTAGGTGGTTAAAACGGCTGCCTAGTAAATAGGAACCCATGGGTTTGAATCAAAGAGGTTCCTGAGGCTTTTTAATGTGGGAATGAAATGGTTCAGTCTTCCCTTAGCATGTGGGAGGTAGTGGGAGTAATGCTTGGATTCTCCAATCCAAGGGGGTGGGGAGGGGCTTAGCAGGCTAAGTCTCTGCACTCATAATCAGAAGATTACCAGTTCAAGGCTTGGCAGTCATGTCAGTAGGCCCTTGAGCAAGCCCCCGACCCCCCCCCCCCCTGCTCCAGGTGCCACATACTGGCTGACCCTGTGCTGTGAACCTAGCTATGGAGAGCAAGAACATAGGCCTGGCAAAGAGAAGCATTCCAACATACCTGTGCAAATGGCAAATAAAGCATTGTCTGTTTGTTTTTGTTTATATGTGTAACTTCTGTATTCATATACTGTACATGCAGTATCTATATTTATATCCACAGTCAACACAGTTACATCTATGAAATATCCTCCGTATATGTGCAATTCATGTAATTGTGTACATACATTTTCATAATATTTCATAATTATTTGTATTGTTATAGTTTGTTTCTATTGCTATTTATTTCTACTAACTTGTAAGAAGTACATTTCCGTGATATATGGGATCAATAAAGTCTTATCCCATCCCAGCCTAGTCCATCCCATCCCATCCCATTCCATCCCATCGTATCTTATCGTATCTTATCCTATCCTATCCCATCCCATCCTATCCTATCCTATCCCATTCCATCCTATCCTATCCTATCCTATTCCATCCTATCCTATCCTATTCTATCCCATCCCATCCCATCCCATTCCATCCTATCCTATCCTATCCTATCCCATCCCATTCCATCCCATCCCATCCTATCCTATCCTATCCTATTCCATCCCATCATATAATACCCTATCCCATCCTATCCTATCCTAAGTGGGACAGAACCGCAGGGGGTAGAAGCCCACCATGAATTTTGTTGATTTCTGGGTCAAAATGTGAGTTTTAGTAGCATTGCAAAAAAAAAAAAACAATGTTGTTTTAAACTGAATCCAAAACGATGGAGTCAATACAGTCAATTAAATGATCACTGAATTGTTCACGCAGTTAATCTGCATGACGGGAAAGCCCTCCTCATGTGGGGACTGTGAGGTCACTCCTTTCCCCGCTCTGGGGAGTTCCCCACAGGTGATGACTTAGACACAATGAGATGACAAGCATCTGATGTGAGATGGGAGTACACCAACCACAGCCTCTGTCCATGAGAATAAAAAACGTTTGCTAATTGCTGTTTTTGGACACACCAAGGATCACAGGTGAGATGACACATCCTCCTAGGCCTTCAACACACCCCCACATTTGTTGGTAGATGCCTTCACAAAAATGCAGCTGCTAGATATTTATGTGAACTTGATGAAGGTGCAGAGCATTTTGGGCTGGTACTGGTGCTGTCCTGTCCGTACAGACCCTTTGGCAAACCATTTGAGTTTCTACCCTTTAGCAATCCAGTGTTTGTTTCAAAAAATACATTTTTGTGTTGGTGCTCCAGAAAATCCTCAGCAGATGTTTCCACACTTTATCAATGATTCAACCTAATTACTAATGACGCAGGTTTCTTCTCCTCAGTCACATTATGGGGCACTGTTTCAAAATGTGCTTGTTATTAAGCTTTGTTTGCTGTACAGATGGTTGTGTAACACTCTAGCTTAATCCCAAGGCACCAAGATCAGCTCCAAACCAGCCTCTAATGCCAATAATCACAAACAAATCACATGTCACTGCCACTTCTCTGCCTCTGGAAGCCATCACCCCTCAGTTGCTCTCAGGCTCCTCCTTGGATCCCCCCGGTATCTCCTCCGCTTCCCCCATAGGCTTGCTGCTCTTCTTTCTGTTGAGCCGATGCCCCACCCCGCATCCACCTACACTGAGCTGTGGGCCGCCCCACTCACTACTTGCCTCTGGCTAATTGCACATTCGCCGCACTGCATTGTGTGCCGCCCCACTCACCTCTGGCCAATCACATGTCCACCTGCACTGCATTGTGGGCCGCCCCACTCACCTCTGGCCAATCACATGTCCACCTGCACTGCATTGTGGGCCGCCCCACTCACCTCTGGCCAATCACATGTCCACCTTCACTGCATTGTGGGTCGCCCCACTCACCTGTGGCACATGGCACGGCACATCCACCCACACTGCATTGTGGGCCACCTTGCTCACCTTTGGCACATGGCACATCCACCCACACTGCACTGTGGGCTGCCCTCCTGCATCTGGCCAATTACACATCCACCTGCACTGCATTGTGGGCTGCCCTCCTGCATCTGGCCAATTACACATCCACCTGCACTGCATTGTGGGTGCAAAATGTGTTTAATCTCAGATGTCTGGTGATCGTCATTGGAGACCAGACTGCTGATGCTTGGATCCCAAAAGATGGGTTTAAACCAAAGAACTTTTCAAGGAGCTTCCCCAAGAGCCTTAAAGTGTTTCTGAATCGTAGCCCTCG